GTGTAGTATATTCAACATAGCAGTGTATATCGTCAGTTTCATTACCTCTCCCAAGCCCTTACTGCTTGGTTGAACCTTACCGTCTTGGTTGAACACTGTAGAACTATACCGTGTATACCAACTTGGTTGAACTATACCATCTCAGTTGAGCTACACAGTGTTTGGCATCATCAGACAGACTTTTTACCATGTTCCTGGTCTGCAGCATCACGTCAGTGATGGTTTTGCCAGAGAATGACAGGTTCCAAAATAGTTTTGGAAGGGACATCTACGGTTCTGGCAATAGGAAAAGACTTTGTGTACTTTCTGCCTGAGCGTATGTGATCAAGTCATTGTTAAGCTTGAAGTTTTCGTTCAGTGCTGTTTTTGCAAACGCTTTTCTGAGGAGGACCGCGTAGAAAGAAGGCAGTGATTCAGAACTGGCACATATCTTGTCTATCTTTGAGATTTTTGCTACTCATTATTAGCAGTTAGGAAAAACTGTAATTTAAAGACATCTTAATGTTGCCTTTACATTTAAAAATAAAGGTGACTCCAGTAGCACTAAGCTAGCCTATAGGCTACCTACTATAGGTAGCCTGCATCAATATCCCTATCATACATGAATGGGTCTTTTAAAAAGCTTCATGCAATTGCTCCAAGTTTTTGAGTTGCCTTGGTAATTTTCACCAAGTTTTTGTGTACCTCTGATCCACTGAGCTTGTTTCACTAGTTAATATAGCTTTCCAAGCATATGCCAATACAAAATCCATATTTTGTTCTTAGGGAACTACTGCGGTGTAAATGCTTAATCCTCAGATGCTTCATAATGCCATAGTATGCTCGTACCCACCTGAGTTCTCAATGGTTAGGTTTGCTCCACTGAACCAAATTTTCTTCCTAGGTGTGTAAATCTCTTTTTAACATGCTCACCACCATGCATCCATCAGAGATGATGCTGAATATTCTGTTTTCAGTGATCTATTTAAAATTCTCATAGAGATTTACTTACTTTGTTAAAGTATTGTGGAAGTTTTGTTAGAGAATAGGTGTATTATCTAGTCATACGGTTAATAAGCTATACTCCATACATATTTAGGTAAAATCACATCTAAGTATACTGACATCAGTTTCGGTTTCAGCACTGATCATTTCAAATATCTGGAAACAGGGTCATCGCAGAAATTAACTCTACTGTGCTACAAAAATAAGGTTTACAGGGATTTTGTGTTACAGTTACTTTGCTGGTTTTTGAGTCTTGCATTTATATGTCAGTGTTTTAGCATCTCTGGTTAAGGTAGGCAGTATCTCGGTCGCAGGGTGGATTGTCGTTGAAATTAGCAGTCTGGAAATGAACAGAAAGGTGTTTTGTTTTTGTTTTTTTTAACTTTTATGTTACAATGACTGTATTGGCCTTGCAAAAGCTAACTTCAAGAAAAATAATTCTGTGTGGCTGCGTGTGTATGTAAAACAGGAGACGGGATACAATTCTTTTGCCTTACGCTCTCAGTTGCGGGGGGTGCGTGTGTGATTTGATCGTTGGACTAGAGCTACTATTGTAATGACTTTGCACAACTAAGTTAAACTCTGTTTGCAAGGTGTCTGCATAGGAATCTTTAGGCTTTTCTTTCTGATGGTACAATACAAAAGGGTCAAAGCACACATTTGTATTTGTCCTTGCATAGTAGTCACTTCCATTACTTAATACTGTACTGGGAGACATTCCTGTGGCAATAAGTACTAGGAATTAAAGACTGTAATAGAAATAATTTTGAGGACAGCTTGTTGAAATGGGAGTAGAAGGTTTTTGAGCTTAGATCTGCATCCGTGTTGATCTGACTTCCAACTGCCTTTCAGTATTTCCGTTAACTATCGCTCTTATCAGAAATGTCGTTCTTGGCGACTTCATAGTTGGAATGACTTCATTTGGCATTTGAATGTTTGATCTGTATTCCTACATTCCAGAACTTTTACACCAGTGCACTTCAGGTGTACGCCACCACGTATACCTGACCAGTCTTTTGTTGTCTTCTGTCATGGATGGCTTGCATTGATATTTTTACCGCAAGTCTGACAGGAGTGTATCTTTTGGCTGTGAAGGCTATAGAAGTGGAGATTGCTTTGAGGTCACGAGAATCTGCTGGGTTTTAGAGTACTGGAATTCTACATGGCTTGCTTTTGAGGAAGGGTCCCTTTTTCTGCTCAACTTCATAGTCAATAGTATTTGCTTTAAAATCTGAATGCCTTAGTTTTGAATGTCTTAACTTGTCTTTCTTGGCACATCTTTGCTTTTTTCTTTGTGCATCGTGTTTTTGTGGCAGTTATTACATTGTGTATTTTAATGTATGTTATCTGCCTAATCATAATTTACTGAAACAATTGTCTTTGCGGACAACATATATAACAGGGAATGCCTTTTGTTCTCCTAGGATACAGGCCTTTTTCCTCAGTTTTTACCTGATGTAAAGAAACTTCTACCTGCTGTATTTTAAACTGTTAAATTAGTGTCCGACTGTGCAATAAAGAAACACGGAGAAACCTGTGTCTGTATCTCATTGTGTAATTAAGCTCTCCAAGTTAAAAAGTAGATTTTCTGTCAAGAAAATAATACAATTCCCTCTTGAGAATGAAGCAGTTCATTACGAGTGGAGTCTAATCAGATGTCAGACATTCTGTGATACTTAAAAGCTATGAAAGACTCTGCTGAAGTGTATTATAATTGGAATGAAAGAACAATGACCTCTCTGTTGCCGCTGTACTGATGGAAGGATGTCTAACTGTTTGTTACATTCAGCTAGATGCAACATGCCGTCTAAAATGGGATTCCAAATTTTGAGGATCGTTGCTAAACTACTTCATTTGACACTGATCGTTAAACTCAACCTGTCAACTAAGCTCCTTTTTCCATTGTGTAATTGGTCTTGATAAAACTGGGCGTTGATCTGATGTGGTGTAACTCTCAAGAGTTTCACATTTAGTGGTTGTGGCTACAAGAATCTTATCAAATAACCCAAAAAACCCCTTTGAGTAAAATAAATCACTTTTATTAAAAAAAAAATTGGCTAATCAGGTTAAATAAGCATTAATTTCTCCGTCTCACTGCTTAGCTTTGCTTAGATTCTAGATATCGTATCTATATGTTATGCTTAGCTGAATTCATTCGAACAAGTTTCCATTTCTTTTGATGGGAAAAGTAGGAGATTGCATCCCTGGTTAAGGAATTCCCCCCTGAAATAATTGTAGACAATACTTTTATGTAAGGCCTCCCAAACTGTGCTATTTGGTCCCCTTCGTGGTAGGCAAGCCATTTCAGTATGAAGAAAGAGTGGCACGGGTTAAGAGTGAGGTTAGCTCCACTATTATTACTATTTAAGGGTTCTAGAAGCTACCACCACTTCCATTTACCCAACAAAAAAGCTTATAAGCTCTTGTATTAGTATAGCTGAGGTGTTTGCTAAAGAAATGGCTTATTTGGTTCCAGCAGGCTGTCTTATTTTGATCAAGGCAGCTCTCCCGATAAATGGTTAAGAACATACACATTACCTGTAACAAATGGCCAATTTACTTCTGATATTGGTAATTATTTGTCTTTCTGACAAACAATTCTTTCCGTCTTTCTTTTTGATGTGACAAACTTGAAGTGCCTGAGTATTAGCATATGGAGAACTGATTGTATAATCAAATAGTCTTCAAAGATTCTGCAGAATAACTTGGGGGCCTGAAGAGAGTTAATGTTCGTGGTCAGAACTGATAACAATACTTAGCATTTGTGAAGTGCTTTGAAGATACAAAGCACTATATGAACACACCCTAACACCATGACTGCAAAGCAGGTATTTTCTCAGCAATACAAATGGAGAAATGGTTGCAGAATTAACTCCGATTGATTAATTTGCAAAACAGTCAAGCATGTGGTTGACTTTAAACAGGGCAGTTCAGTGGCTGCTACTCCACTGCTTGTTGATCCCAGGATTTCCAAATGGAAACGGTGTCAAAACTGAGACTGAAGCCTGCAAATTCTTAGCTGCAGTCTGTTACGAACTTCCTTTTTGGAAGAATTGGATGCAGAGAGAAAAAGATAACTTGGTCCCATTCTTGTGAAAGTTAATGGAAATTTCTGTGAATTAGGTTAATACCAGGTGTAAAATGCCAATGATCAGGCAGTTAATTTATTTGCCTTAATGTAAGAACTTAGTCTAGAGCACGGGTGAAGCAAATCCATTGATGAATGATTTTGTTCACCCAACTATACAACTGAGTTTGAGCGTTCATCTGAAAATACCTGAAGCATACATCTTATTTCAATTCCCATCCTGTCTGCTGGATCCTGGTGTAATGAGGCCAACACAGAGACAATCCCGTATGTTGCAGGAACCTGTTTTTTTCTGATTTTTATGGTCCCGCGAACATCCTGCCTAGGCTAAAGTATGAAATACAGTAGCAAGTAAATGTTGGTAAATCTTACTTTGAGAAATGATTGGTTTAGATGACAGCCATATAGCCTCTCCAGTGGGGCTGATGTTAAGCTTGTAGGCTAAAGAAAGGCTTTTGGGGTTTGAGGGAAATTGTGTGATAAATATGTTTTGCTGTTTATTTTTAATTGCTTTTCATAGTCTTTGCAGTCTCTTCAGGATCCCATTTCTCTCTGAAAACTAGAAAAACGTGCTCAGTGCAAAGGCAATTTTTGACTAAGCTTTCTTCCTAAATAGGTATGTTTATATAAATGGAGAAGTGGGGAACACTGTTCTAAGCCCCTGGGCTGTTGTGACCAACAGCCACTAGGTGTCAGGTTCTGATCAGTGCTTCAACGGGCTGCTTGGGATTCCTGTGACGGTTGGAAGCGGTCATGACGCCAATTGCCAGTGCGAGGTCCCCGAAAATGTTCCTAAAACGTTACATCTTTCCCCGGAACGCAGATCTCGCGTTTCTCTGAGGTATCTTGTAGAAAACCTCCTGACCCACCCTACTGCCCGTACTAAAGCGTGTCTGAAACTTGCAAGGAGGAGGATGGTCCAGGGAGGATGGACGCCGACCTTGGGTTTCAGAGCTCGGGCACAACTTCTTGTGTGACACCAACTAATCGCTTGCTGAGGAAACAGCTCCTCAAAGGTACCGCTTGCCACCTCTCAACAGGAATGATTATTGTTGAGAATCGGGGCTTCCAGGCTTTAGCCTCTGAACTCACCTCCTGTCCCACAAGGCCAAGAGGGAGTCTGAATTTGCTGAAGAATTGGCTCCTTAGGCACTATTGTGAAGTAGTATGTCTCCTTGGGTGCAAGACCTATGCCTTCATTGAGGTAGCATGATAGAACTTGCTCATTTTGCCTGCACGCTTGCCAGATTGGCAAAATTACTGGGGTTTTTTTGCAAACAAGTCTTTTTGGTGATCTTGGCGTCCGAAGTGCCAGGCAGATTTCTGCAGCGCCTCTGCAGAAATGCAGGCGATGCAGCGATGGGGCCTTGGCCTGCGCTTGCGTGAATATGTCAAATAGAAGAGTACAGTAAGTGCACTAAAATCAGACGGGGCTGGGGGGGGAGTTCAGCAG